TAATCAACAGAACTAACACGGCAGATACAAGGTCAATTGAACCGATTTAGTCAAATGTCTTTGAAAAGTGTAAACACATTCGATGAAGTTTTTTGAATTACAAAATGAAGACAGCGTTAAACAAAATCAAAATTAACCCAAAAAAAACCATTCATTCGCCTTTCAAAATTGTATTGTGTAACTATTAAGTTCAATTTACATGTCAGGCGTAATGATTCGGTCCATGTTTGCTATATATTTTAGTTTGCATGAATAGTGATAAAAACTAAAAGCGCTTTATCTCCCTTACAATTGTGGTGGGAAGAAATGGGAAGTAATAGCAAAAAAAATATATAAATGTGTGTCCGATATAAATTGTATTGGAAATTTGAACATACCATCATGTGACGAGGTAGTCGAGAAGTTGATACCGCGTCAAACATCAAGCTGATATTCTTGTGTGGTTTCTGTTTACAATTTACCCAAACATCCTACACAATATTCACCATATCTACTTATATAGGGCAGCGTGAAATGCTTTAAGACTGTTAAAGCCAACTTAAACTTCGTACTTATATTTTGCATTTGCGTAGCGCGTTTAACAGTACCAATGAAATTGTTCAGCTTGTTTAGCTTTTGGCTGTAGCTACAATGATATTACTCTTTGTTGTTTCGAATACAACCGATACATAGACTTTAGATATACGTTGTCTGCATTTGATCGATTTGATTGGAGAGCCACGATTCTAGATTTAAAATAATGAAACTCTGTTCTAGATTTAAGAATACATAATTAGTAATTCATTTCTTGTATTGGACTATTTTAGTCCTTACATATTTCATATTAATACGTGTTAATATTTATTACTTACGGTTTCTTATGTCTACTGGGTTAGACGTTAGGTTACTTGTCTCATTTAAATCAATTGTTTCACAACATAGAGCTCGAAGATTAAACAAAGACTAAGTAACACATAATCAATTTTTATAACGATTAGTAGTTGGAAACTATAATAAATATAAGAAAGTATTAATACATCTATATATATATATATATATATATATATATATATATATATATATATATATATATATATATATATATATATATATATATAATTATCTTCTTAGATAAGCTAGAAAACGCCAAGCTGTAAGCGAGCCTAGCAGCCCCCTCTCTTACTCTCTAAGCGTATCCCTACCACCCCCACCCCCTCATGGTCTGGTGAGCTGTGGATCACGCTAAATGTTTACAATCATAGAGCTGGGTTTAGTGTCGGCTATTAGGGGCAGATAATTTAGTTTGAAACAATTTTAAACTTAGTGGAGGTAACTAAGTGGAGGCTTCTTTCACGGGGGGGGGGGGGGGGGGTAGGGTAGGGGTTGATGGAAATGAGTGGGGGGGGGGGGGGTTATCGTCCTTAACGACCTACTGATAGTGTTTTAAAGCAAATATTTTCAGTGGCAGCATTGGTACTGTCGAATTCACAAATTATGAATTACTTAAAAGTAGAAACTAAAACAACATTGGTGTCGTTAGCTTATGCTATCATTTTCCTGGCCCAATAATTTGGTAATGGCTATCCTTTAATACAGCTGACCTGCCTAATACTTTCTAACTTGGGCTCTATGATAAATATGTGGTGTAATGGGAGGGGGGGGGGGTGACTAGTTGAAGCTGTTGAGTAATAACGAGATGTCTTTCATCTAGAATAAACTTAGTTAATTCTTGTTTCTGGTCGTTCCACTCTTAGAGGCAGGTTCTAATAACCTTGTTATCAAATCCGATTGTAGTAGCGAAATTATTATTTGGACGTCTATGATTTTTAAAGCTACATTGCTATTTTATTGCTAGGCTCTGAGAGATAAACATTTTATATTACTTGAAATAATCGAAGAGGAAAAATTCATTAACATACTGTCATCACTTGTCTTTAAAATGTGTACACGAAATAATTCATGCATTGGTTTGTATGTTGTTGTTTTTTAAGCACTACATTTAAATACATAACATGCACTATACATCTACATACTTTAATGCAGAGTTAAATTATTTAACTATTGTTAATAGAAACATAAAATACAAAATCGATACATTATCTGTTTTTTGTTTTGTTTTTTTTTGTTTGTTTTTTATTTGTGAGATGTGGTAATATTATTATTTTATCTCTCTTAGTATACGTTTGAAAAATAATATTTATAGTTTACAACTAGAATAATTGCTAATACTAACTGTGTTTCTAGCCCCCCCCCCTGATACAACTTATGATCATTACAATTGGTATATGTTGTTGATACATGAACACGAGCTGTAGAAGTCAAGTTTGAAGCGGGTCACATATGTGATATGTATAGGCCTATAACTGAGATCTGTAACATTAAATGATTTGTTGTTCAAGCTATTTAAAGATCATCTAGATCTAGATCTATAATCTCTAGAATCTCTAGATCTAGAATATCTAGATCTAGATCTCGAATCCTAATAGATAATGTGTGTCTAGGTTAAGGCCAGGGGTCGGTAAACATTTGACGGAAGAGCCGAAAGTTACAATTTACAAAATTTCCCCGTTTTTAAAGTACCACTCTATTATTTCAATATTATGATATTTGATAAGGATTAGGTAAATAAATTTGATTTGTTATATAAAAGCCTGGAATTGTTGCCACGGTGCTGTCCACAGCAGGGCTGTGGGGCTAGGCCTAGAGCCCAAGCGACTGTCAGCTGTCTACTCTCAACTCCACCTATTCTTACTGTTCTCTGCTGAGTGTTTTTATCCTGTTTAAAGTTGTTTTTCTTTACAGTATGATATTTGTTATAAGTTTTGAAAATGAAATAATAAAATTATTAATGTTTGTGCAGGGAACTGTAGAGCCGCATATTGACATCAAAAGAGCCGCATGTGGCTCGCGAGCCGCAAGTTGCAGCACATGTATTTGGCCGATACAATTTTATTTTATAAATTGTATAGCGTACGTAGACCTAAATAATATTAAAATGAAATAGTTCATATCTTTATATTCTAAACTCGTCATTAATTATGTGCTCTCTCCTTAGTGTAAAAAATACTGACGTCATTGTTTTGTGCCTTCTTTTTCAAAACTATAAACACTTTTCCGGTTGCATAATTAAAACTGTTTTTTCTATATTCGAATATGCCTTAATTTGTTTTTTATCTTCTTTAACTAAAGTTGTGTTTATACATTTAAAATATCAACCATTTTTATTTTCAATAGAAATCCGTATCAATTTCTCAATATATCACTGAAGATGCTGATGTGATGGACTGCAAAAATGTTTTGCAGTCAGAGAGAGAAAGAAAGAGAAAGAGTAATGCGCACATGGGCTTTTATATATTAGGATTTTTTAAAATTATGATTCGTCATAAAAGACTTGTGAGCATTGACAAATTGACTTAATCGCATGTTATTGAAAAGCGTAAGCAATCTCACTAACGTTTTCTAAAAATTAGTAAAAACAAATAATTTATAAAAACAAAGACACACTCATCTAAGCAATTCGTATTTTTTTATAAAATGATTTTCTAAATATGAATTTCCTGAGCATGTTGGTCTTTATTGTTTATCTAAAGGTTATTATTTTTTTCAAATAATTTATTTGCTAGTGATATAAATTTGGTTTGAATTATTTCCCTTAAAAATAACAAACGATTGAATGGGAAGTAATTATAAACTGTTTCTTTATTGTTAAAAATACATTTTTAGCTAAAATGTATATAGTCCTGTAATAATTGTAACAAAAAATAAAATATGATTTTGTTCATTTTAGATATGTTAACCTCGAGTTGTGAGCGGGTTATACATGTTCAGAACGTGTAAACTATACCTACGGCAATGTATCGATCCTAAGCTGACTTTCTATGAAAGGATTAAGTTTTATTTAGACCCCGAATGTATACCAGCCTCATCTCTAATGATAACTTTAAAAAAATTGCCAAAACTAACTAAGGGCTGTAGCAAGATGATCTTTTTAGATATAGTGACAAGCACAACCACTCAAACGGCTGTCAGGTGGAGTGGTCTAGCTTACAATCGTCCTTCACTAGCTACTGATAGTGTTAATAAAGCAAAATATTTTCAGTCGCAACATTGGTAGTGTCGAATTCACAAAATAGGAAAAATAGGAAATAAAAAACTAAATAAAGGCGAGGCGTATGCTTTGTCGCGGGTCAGCTGGTATGAAATAAATCAACAGTCAACGATGTTTGATTTGGTTACGTGTTTACATTTGGTTATACACTTTAAATGTGATGGTAAAGTAAAAAAAAAAAACAACAGAGAATATGAATACTATAGTTGACGGCCTCACAACGAAACACACATTCACTTTCACGCACGCGTGCCCACGTAATTCCCCACTCAGGTATGAAGTAATTACTGCATGAATATTTGAATAACATGTAAATAAGTGACGATTAGCTGTGTGTGCTGTGTGTGTATGTTATTATGTTTACATGTGTACCTGACATGGATTGTTAAAGATATACTACAAATGTAGCTAGTGCTCACACAATCATGGCACTAGAATTAAATGCGGCCATCTTACTTATAGTTTAGTCCGTTTTTAAATCGCAGACATTGTTTTCATAACGGTTTAACTGTATGATTTGTATAGAGCTGTTTTTTTTTCTTTGTTTGATTAAAATGTTTTTCATAGTTCAACTGTTTACGTCTTTTAACATCGCATCCCGCACTTTTGACTTCGATTAAAGTGACATGTCCCGATAATTCTATTAGTTCAAGTCTATCTACGATAAGACTATTCGAGTCACATACGACCTGAGTTAGCACTAGATTTTGACATTTCGCCAACACAGTGATGTCATATATAAGTATAATCAACAACAACAATTGAGTTGCGCCAATTCATGATCCATCTACGGCAAAAGCTGTAGGGAGGAGACTCTATGGTTACGGTCCACGTTGCTAAATGAAATCATGAGCCCCACACTTTTCAGATACAGCCAAGTCACTAACAATCTCAATCAAAATATCAGATGAAGATGGACCATCATCAAGACCAATGGCCATCAAATTATTTATGGCCACATAATCCACAGTCTAATCAGCCCGCACCAGATCCTGCGACCCACACCTTCATTGTAGCAGATCTAAACAACATTAAAACACATCATGGACCCAACACACTTGAGTTATCCATGTACAAGAAAGATACTGTATGTGGCACTGTGATGACGAAATAGTGTAATGTTGGTCATAGATAAGCGATAGGTACCATAGGTCAAGTAGACATTGGTCAAGCAGAACCAATATAATGCAGTGACGAACTGACCATTTACGTGAGATGATCAGCTGACCACTGAAATATCAGTTGCGAGTTGGATGTAGATATCGTTAGAAGATTATTAGAGTTTTCAGAGGAAAAACTATGTTACCATTTATGTGAGATGATCAGCTGACCACTGAAACGAGTTAGGGGATTATTGGAGCGTTTAGGGATCAATCGCGGATAAGCGAGTAGTAGCGGATATTGATATTTGTGCGAAAAAGCATTTGAAATCAGGCTAGAGACCGAATATTATTATGAGTTGTGTAGAGTAAGAGAGAATAGAAAATGTATTATATGCAAATAAAGCAACATATTAATTATATGTTTATCGCAAGTATCAACTAATAACATTGTCATTACAATGCATGCCAGGATCCCATCTATTTTAGAAGAACTAAACAACAATCCACACATCATAGAAAACGTCCAACTATCTTTATTAACTTATCTTCAGGCAATAATGTTATATATATATTATTTTAATATTGGGTGCTCTAAAATAAATATATATTATTTTGGTTTGGTGTTTTAAACGAGCAGTTCACAATTACTTCCCATATTTATTTTTCCAAACAAACTACGGGAGACAACTCAAAGACACGAAATCCGACTAATAGATAAATAAACCAATTTGAAAAAAAAAAAAAATTCATTTGATGATTGATCCATTGACATTAATTTGTTTATTATAAGCTATCTAAACATAATGTGCTTACATTAAACGGTGAATAAACGCTTATGATACATTTAAAAAGCTAACAACTGATACTTATTTCATGTAGATTTTAAAGATAAGTAATTTAACAAATTAAACAATTTTTACATGTCGGAATAAGACTTTCGCTAACTGATTCTGGGGAAGAAAGCAAAGGAAGATTGTCTGCAGTAAAAGAAGAGGATCCACTGAGGTTGGCCAGGAGAGAAAAAGATATTCTGTATGGAAAAACCACAGATGCTTACAAAAAATATGTATCAACTATTCCAAAAAACCTACGAAGTGGAGACCTGAAATTGCACCCTAGAACTCCTGAAAAAACAAGAAAGTGTAGTCGCAGATCTTGGGACTCTCAGGTTAAGATATGGAAACGTCGACTTCATTCATGGGCTGGACTGCACTGCAAACAAACAGACTCTGATTTATTATCTTCAACGAATAATGTCCCATCTGATGTTGCTTCTGGTGCATCTTCAAATAAAAGTGATGATGACAATATTGACTTAGGTGATGAGGATGATTTTTTAGACAGCATTGATATCAGTTTTCAAGTTGCTGAACAGATTGAAGACACAATAAAATTGAATGATAACTAGATCTAGAGGACAGAAGACTGACATAGCAGTTGTTGTTAATGTGGCAATATTTTTTTAAAACATGTATATCCAGCACCCCTTCAAACAGAAACAGGAATTAATATAATAAATGCTTTTATGTTTGTACATGAATTTAAGAGTGAGTACTTAAATTGCTTTTTGGAAGTAGAAAAAACAGGTGAGGTAATAGATTACTATACCAGTCTGTACAGTTTTTCCTTCAACTCTGTCTTTGTGAAAATGTTTAGTTCTTTAAAGTGGATATCTTTCTGTTATTTTTTTCTAAAGACGTACCAAGTACCATATTAAAATGTTTTAAAAAATTAAAATTTACTTTATTCAGTCATTGCTTTTTAAATATTTTAAAAATTATCTGGAGAAGTTATAGTGCTGTTTTTTTTCCCCCACATGCTTTTTCTAATACTGGGTGACTCTAGTGAAAAGGTGTCATAAAACTGGTTAATGAATACAATATTTTTTGGCTAATTTCTAATCATTTTTCTGAGTTATAGAAATTTTTAAAATAGTAACACTATTTGCCATATTATTTCATGTCAAGCCTATCAATAATTATGTAAAATAATTACATAATTTTTATTACCTTACTATAAACACAATGGTAAGTATCAAATAATGCTAGCAAATTTAAAGTGTTATTGTAGCTACATACTGCATGCTACTATTTCAGTTAGTTGTTTCATTTTTGAAAAGGCATCCCTTTGGAATTCAGCATTTCATTCCCATTGTATAGAATGACAACAGCTATTAAGATTATTCAGATATAGTTTTAACAATTTATCCAGTTGTTTCTCTTCTTTGGTGGCTATTTTTCTATAAAATAAGATGAAAACTATGTTAATATCTCTATTTTTATGTGTATATACAAGCACAAAAGTTTTTATACTTAGTAAATATTTATGTTAGTTAATACTTTACAGGTTTTTTTTAAACATTTGTATTTCATACCTGCATATTTTCATTAACCACACAAAGAAAAAGATATTTATTATAATACAATAAATATGCTAGCTTGTGTGTACACTTTGTTTATAAGGTTGATCTTTAAAAAAAATGTCATGTCATTGTATATAACATCTGCTTTTGAATAATGCATTATTTTGATGATTTACTTAAAAACAATTTTGTTATTAAAAAAAAGAAATTATGAAAAAAAAAAAAAAAAAAAAAAAAAAAAAAAAAAAATTTAACTAGCTGATCTGTATCTGATGTGCATAAATCTGCCTCAAAATATTATGAGCGAAAAGATTAATCTGAGGCTGTAAAATTCTGACATAAGTGAATGAGAAATAGAATATCTCTTCTAACTCAGTTGAAAAGAACAGAGATAAGGTTTAATTAAGTTGATGGTAACCGAGAGATCGTTTATTTTTACATAAGTTAAGCTACTTGTATGGATGGGTGGAGAGGGGTAATAAGTAAGTTGTTACACAGTGTAACAAACTTATTGCTACATAAATACAACGTATACATAAAAACGTTGTCTTTGTTGATTTTCATATAAAATACCAGCGTTGCTGTCAAGTGATATTGACAGAAACATTCGAATAACTTTGTCTTTAAATAAAGTAAGGTATTTTGAAAAAAATAAAACAACAGCAAATCATGATTGTATAAGTACACATTATTGTAATATTTTTTCCACCTCATGCACTTTAAATACCAACCAAGACTATCATTTTAGCTAAAACAAATGCATTTATTCAGTCTCGATAAACAATATTTAGTTGGTTTAGTATTTACCAGAAAAGCTGGACAATTTAAGTTGTCAAAACTTAATTTAAAAAATGCCACAATCTGTCAGCCCTTGCTATTTTATATTATTTCGTTATTATATAAATATTATTTTGTAAATCCATGCAAATATTTCAAACTTTCCGTTCTGGGAAACGCTTCCTAAATCAAAGTTTAGTGCAAATGCAACGTAGACATTTCCCACATAAGATAATTATAACGAGTTTCATTTCAAATAAAAATAAATAACTGAGAACTCAATCCGATGTATTATGTTTTATTTTCTTCTTCTTCTTCGTTCTTAATTTTTAGTGTTGCAAAGGATCGAGCCTTATCTCCCTTTTTATCTGAGACTTTTTTTTTTCGAATTTATTAACCATGAGCTTTGTCGATTATGCTACCATCACAATTAAGGATTACGTGTCAACTGGTTATGCGCCATTGAGGCCATTGTCTCCGATTTCAGCCTGCTTTTCTTTTTGGATTTGCTTCCATAGCCTATGTCCAGCCAAGAACAAACTACAAGGCAGCAGTTGTTTAATTTTGGAGTTGTCTCTCCTAGAAGAGTGGCTGTCCCCAGCTAACGAGCCTCATCTGCCCGAGGGTTCGAACTCGAGACTTTTCGGTTTAGCAACCATGAGCTTTACCGACTCGACCACGCCATCCCCTAAGTTTTATAAAATGTCTACAATTCGATAATAATTTGGTTTTTTTTTCTTCCTCGGGGTAGATAATAGTGTTAATGACCCAACACACCTCATCGAGACATTATAGTGTAGTTTAAGTCAGGGTTATCATGTACGGTCAACAGTATCAGTGTCATCACGTGGTCATCATGTGGTCACACCTTCACACTGGTCATTAGCAGATTAAAACACCAGCAACACAGACACGGGTAGAAGAGATTAGCCAATAGTTAATGCAGGAGTTAACGACGACTAATCTGGTTACGTTAGAACCCGATTGGATTAATATAAATTAAAAAATAAATAAATAATACTCGGTGGGCGGGGAGACAATTCAAATAATTTTTAAAACATGTATGTCCTTTAATCTATAGTTACTAACAATCTTCGTCATTAAATGAACAATCTACTTCATTAAATGACATGTGACGCTTTGTTTTCTAACATCTACAAGTGTCAACGTGGCTTTGCACTTTTCTAATTATATTTTCATTTTCGCGACAGAATCTTGTTGTGAAAATTGCACTATTGACTGTTAATGCTCTCTATTGTGTGAGGTCATATTTGTTGAAATCTAACGTTTTGTTTTAATCTAATTTTAGATTCTTCTTAGTTGACCTAGATGGGGTAGACTAGTATCATGGGTGGAGTAGACTGGTGTCATGTGTGGAGTAGACTGGTGTCATGGGTGGAGTAGACTGGTGTCACGTATGGAGTAGACTGGTGTCATGGATGGAGTAGACTGGTGTCATGGGTGGAGTAGAGTGGTGTACTGGGTGGAGTAGAGTGGTGTCATGGGTGGGGTAGACTGGTGTCATGGGTGGAGTAGACTGGTGTCATGTGTGGAGTAGACTGGTGTCATGGATGGAGTAGACTGGTGTCATGGGTGGGGTAGACTGGTGTAATGGGTGGAGTAGACTGGTGTCATGGGTGGAGTAGACTGGTGTCATGTGTGGGGTAGACTTCTGTCATGGGTGGAGTAGACTGGTGTCATGGAGGGAGTAGACTGGTGTAATGGGTGGGGTAGACTTCTGTCATGGGTGGAGTAGACTGGTGTTATGGGTGGAGTAGACTGGTGTTATGGGTGGAGTAGACTGGTGTCATGGGTGGGGTAGACTTCTGTCATGGGTGGAGTAGACTGGTGTCATGGGTGGGGTAGACTTACTTATGTCATGGGTGGAGTAGACTGGTGTAATGGGTGGGGTAGACTTCTGTCATGGGTGGAGTAGACTGGTGTCATGGGTGGAGTAGACTGGTGTCATGGGTGGAGTAGACTGGTGTCATGGGTGGGGTAGACTGGTGTCATGGGTGGAGTAGACTTATATCGATGTACATATAAATGTACAATGTTGCATATTTTCTATTTTAGTTCATTTGAAATGTATCCCTACCCCATAGTATTCAATATAATGTCGCCAATTTAAAAAAAAAATGAATCTGGTGCAAAGAAGTATTTACCAATATTTTTTTTTCCTTGTTTGGAAATCATACAAGGGAAGTTAATACATATTATATAGACCGTGTTGGTAAAGGAATTGGAAACAAAATAAAACAGACATACTAATTGATTTATGGAATATAACACAATCAACATCAACGTGATGTCGTGTGGGCACCGCCACAGTCCATTTGGTGAAAACATCAGTCATTACCAACACATGTTCCGTCCCATCCGATGATTGCTCCAACGACGTAAAGTCCATAGCCACAATCTCTAGTGGTTTTGTCGCTAATAGGTGTCCCGATGGCTGTCTCATTTTGACAACTGGCATTTTCGCATGCTGACACCTCACACAAGCCTCACAATGGCGTTTGACCTCCATTTCCATATTGGGCCAGTAACACCTCCGTCGTAATATTTTGTGCGTCCTGCCCTGACCCTGGTGTCCTGCCCTGTCATGTGCCAACCTTAGCACTTCTTCTCGTAATTGTCCAGGCACCACCACCTGGTGTATTGTCCCATCAATTTGGTCATGAATTCTCCGCATGAGAACACCATCCTTTATACTGAGACGGTCCCACTGACTCAGTATTTTCTTTGTTTCTCGACCAAATTGTTCTCTTTCCCTTCTTCCTGGGAATTTTTGTTCCTGGACGTGTTTCAACAGCAAATAAAAATAAATAACTGAGAACTCAATCCGATGTATTATGTTTTATTTTCTTCTTCTTCTTCGTTCTTAATTTTTAGTGTTGCAAAGGATCGAGCCTTATCTCCCTTTTTATCTGAGACTTTTTTTTTTTCGAATTTATTAACCATGAGCTTTGTCGATTATGCTACCATCACAATTAAGGATTACGTGTCAACTGGTTATGCGCCATTGAGGCCATTATCTCCGATTTCAGCCTGCTTTTCTTTTTGGATTTGCTTCCATAGCCTATGTCCAGCCAAGAACAAACTACAAGGCAGCAGTTGTTTAATTTTGGAGTTGTCTCTCCTAGAAGAGTGGCTGTCCCCAGCTAACGAGCCTCATCTGCCCGAGGGTTCGAACTCGAGACTTTTCGGTTTAGCAACCATGAGCTTTACCGACTCGACCACGCCATCCCCTAAGTTTTATAAAATGTCTACAATTCGATAATAATTTGGTTTTTTTTTTCTTCCTCGGGGTAGATAATAGTGTTAATGACCCAACACACCTCATCGAGACATTATAGTGTAGTTTAAGTCAGGGTTATCATGTACGGTCAACAGTATCAGTGTCATCACGTGGTCATCATGTGGTCACACCTTCACACTGGTCATTAGCAGATTAAAACACCAGCAACACAGACACGGGTAGAAGAGATTAGCCAATAGTTAATGCAGGAGTTAACGACGACTAATCTGGTTACGTTAGAACCCGATTGGATTAATATAAATTAAAAAATAAATAAATAATACTCGGTGGGCGGGGAGACAATTCAAATAATTTTTAAAACATGTATGTCCTTTAATCTATAGTTACTAACAATCTTCGTCATTAAATGAACAATCTACTTCATTAAATGACATGTGACGCTTTGTTTTCTAACATCTACAAGTGTCAACGTGGCTTTGCACTTTTCTAATTATATTTTCATTTTCGCGACAGTATCTTGTTCTAAAAATTGCACTATTGACTGTTAATGCTCTCTATTGTGTGAGGTCATATTTGTTAAAATCTAACGTTTTGTTTTAATCTAATTTTAGATTCTTCTTAGTTGACCTAGATGGGGTAGACTAGTATCATGGGTGGAGTAGACTGGTGTCATGGGTGGAGTAGACTGGTGTCATGTGTGGAGTAGACTGGTGTCATGGGTGGAGTAGACTGGTGTCACGTATGGAGTAGACTGGTGTCATGGATGGAGTAGACTGGTGTCATGGGTGGAGTAGAGTGGTGTACTGGGTGGAGTAGAGTGGTGTCATGGGTGGGGTAGACTGGTGTCATGGGTGGAGTAGACTGGTGTCATGTGTGGAGTAGACTGGTGTCATGGATGGAGTAGACTGGTGTCATGGGTGGGGTAGACTGGTGTCATGGAGGGAGTAGACTGGTGTAATGGGTGGGGTAGACTTCTGTCATGGGTGGAGTAGACTGGTGTTATGGGTGGAGTAGACTGGTGTTATGG